GTTTCCTGTACTGAATGAAGTTGAGGGAATAGGTTTTAGGAGCCCTGGTTCTCCCCTACCACCACCTTCCTCCTTAAGAGACTGTGGCACAATGAAAAAGTAAACTTTCTTGAATAGGGAAAATATTTATATAAAACTTAAACTGTACATCCCATTAAGCCCTATTGTCAAGATTCATAGTCTTTATAGTACCCCCAAATGTATCTTTTTCTTTCATTTTAAATAAACACTTTTCCTTTGCCTTCCTCACTGAAATATACAAGCAGAGCCAAAGAAACATGTTTACCTTTGACCTTCACTTCACTATCCTTTCTTTTTCTGTACAAGTTCCATTATTTACCTCATTCTTTCATAGACTTGTCTAAGAATTCAATAGCAGTTGAAACAGAGTACTATGAACTGATGGAAAATCAACAACAAAAAATCACAGAGACCAATGATGAAGATATAATCTCTCTCACCCATCTCCCCAGCACTACTTAAGCTGCTTCCTGTGGTCAGGCAAATGAATGCACCACATAGACATACATGTACAGATACCAATGTGCCTAAATGCCATTTCCCCCCTAATGTTGCTGTTGAATTGCAACCATTCGTTGCTTTTGGAGAAATCAAAAGATATGAATATGAGTGCCTTTATCAGAGTTATTTCACCAGTAAATTTTTCCAACTAGTATGCAGCCTCCACTGGTAGGATCAGGAAGGGAAGGAAAAGAGTGTTTTTGTTGTTGCCATCTGAAATATAAAGGAGGTTACTTCGTGGGAACCGAAAGTGTTTAAAAGTGCCAAGTATAATATTATTTATGACCATTCTCTCCATCTGACTTTCACATAACTCCCAAATGATCAATCCTCTCCCATCTTATATTGTAATCTTAAAAACTGACATATTTTGAGGAAACAGGAGCTCTTTAGGGATAGCCACATTCTGCACTTTTATCTTAAGGGGAAAGAAAGGGTTTGGCATCATGGCTACCAACATCTTAGGGAAGAGTGCCACACAGATTTTTCCCAGTTGCAGTGATAGAGTTCTTGCACCTTAGTGTGTAATACATTCTCCAAACTGCCTGAGTAGCCCTAGGATCTGAAAGGTAAGCATGGGTCCAAAACAGTGCATGTCCATTTAACATGTGATGGTTTTCCATCAGTTGCTCCCCCTTGCCTCTAGTAGCCAAGCATACACACACACACACACACACACACAAACGCCTTCTCAAGGTCCACTAAAATGCCCTGCAGAGGGCAGATGCTGCTTGTTTTCCCTACAATGGAGGTGGATATTGACCCAGAACTCAAATCTATACCCAGCTTAAACATTTTACCCATCAGCATATCTGCGGTCACAAAACACTTCTTCTTTCTGTCACTTCTGATCCAGGCTATTGATAAGATCATTTGGCTGAATCTGTTTGGGACCCATGTATATTGACTAGGAGTTAGAAGAGAGCATCAGATGTAATAAGCCTAGAAACTACCTTTCAAGATGGACATTCATACTTATTAAACCAATGTTCCAAGAAGGACTTTAAATACATCAGCAGTTGTAAACTAACCCAACACTGCTTGGTTTTCCCACTAACCTTAAAACTGATTGTGGTGAGTGTAGTGCTCATTTAAGACCTCCTGAAACAATCTGTTATTGCATCACAGGCTTAGGTATCTTCCATATGTTCCTTTTTTCCCCCTTCTTCTTGTTTTAGAGTCTGTTTGAGAAATAGACACTATCATATAAACCATTGCTAAATCATCTTTTTCAACATATATAAATAATCTCTAATTATTTTATAAATACATATATTTATTGCATATTGTCATGGTTATTCTTTTGTTGAAAGATATTTGCTAATTGTTAAAAAGAATAATCCCCTTAACTGAGCCTTGACTTCCTGTAGATCCCAAATTATGTGAGGACATGTGGATAGAGGCTAAAGTCCACCTTGTTCCATTGGTGCTCTCTAAAAAAGCACCTTTGGGTAAGGTTAAGCTAACCTGGAAAGAGGATGCAGGGATATTTGCATATATTTAAAGGAGACAAACATCCCTTTGTTGGACCATAAAATGGCTCAAACCCAATGACCATGAATGCTACAGGCAGAGTGATTGAAAGGTTTGGGGCTGACAGTTTTTGCAAAGAAAATGAATCAGAAAAGTAGTATTCATTTAAAAAGCCTCTGACATTTATAAACATGAAACCTGGCAGTATATGCATAAAATTTATTCCAAAACTTCATGAAGTATAAAGGAAGGGAAGTGTTTTACACATAACTCAACTCAGTATAAGATCTAGGTTTTTTTTTTTTTCCCCCTTTAAAACTTGACACTATCTTTAAAAATAAAATAACGATATTTCAATAATTAGAACAAACTATGAAGGTATTGTGCATTTCTGTTTATGTAGATAATAAAATATTACTTTAACATAAATATATAAGGATCTCTGCGTTTTTATTTTTCCCCACAAGCACAACCAAATATATCAAAACAAAGTATCTTTTAAAGAGACTGAACAAAAAAAAAAAAATTACATCCCATATAGATTTTGCTCACCTACTCATGTAAAGCTACAGAAAAACAGTTTCCAGAACCTTTTTGCTTTAAGAGAAATAAATATACATTGAGGCAGGCCACTTAAAACTGATATGAAAATATTTCCCTGGGTAGCATTAAAAAAAAAAAAGAAAGAAAGAAAAGAAAAAATAGACAAAGAAACATTTAAACTATTTCTGCATTTCAAAAGACATATATTAAACATATATACATAGTGGTAAGGTTCAGTGGTAACTTTCACCTTAGTAAACCTATGAGAGTTAGAGGAGCCATAGGCACATCCCCAAACTCCAGCTTCTGACCTTACCCACTTGGTAATAAGTATCTGAAAATTCATTTCCTCCCTTTACCATTGGCTATTTGCCCTGCTCTGGATTTCTTCTAAGGGCTAGTTCCCCATGTCTCAGGAACAAACAGCATGATGCACCCCGAAGCAGCTCTGTGCCCATCTCCTAGTGACATTCATTGGGGGAAATGAAATAAAGGCAAATAAATATGCCCATTATAAGTCACCATTTATCTTGCAAAAACATTGAAAATGAAACAATCACAGGTGTTTGAAAACACAATATAAAGCATATTTCCTAAAACCTTAACTATGGAATGCAATGCTAATCTGATGGTGAACCATATTACGGAGATGAAATGTAATTTTTTGAAATAAAAATTCATCTAATACCTAACCACAAAGAAAGCCCCAAACTTTCAAGGTTAATAAAAAGTGTTTTCTCTTTTAGTGCCCTTTTGTGCTGATTATTTTTAAAATTTTGACTGATCAAAGTTTAGTGGTATTTATTTTCAATAGATAGAAGTTTTTCGTTTTTTTTCCTTCCCCTCTAGACTCGCAAGGAGAGTCTTTTATTTTGGGAGTTAACTGTTTTCCACCAAGATAAGGTCCAAAAATGTACTTTAAACTATTAACAAAGGGGAAAAAAGGATTGAAAATGACCATTTTTTTCCACTTCATTTGGCTCCCTTAGTGAAAAGGAGAAGGGGGGGGGGGACTGCAAAAGTCAAAGTGGTATTTTCTGCAATAAATTATGGGAGAAGAGGGTGAAGACCCCTAAATATTATTTGAAAATCAAATGAGCTAGTGAAGATAAAACTTGTCCACAGAATGGAGATATTCTATGTATGCATGTGGGCATTTGTGTGCTAAGAAACACAGTCTATGCATACACCATGAAATTCCTGGGTTGTTTTCTTTATATTCAAAGAAAAAGGAAACAACAAACAACTCTTAAAGGAACAAAGTTTAACCACTCTTGAGAGCACAAATAATTCTTCATAATTAAGTTATTAAAACTGAAGGCAGAGAACTGTACAAAGGTGTCTGAAGATAAATATTTCCTTAGTTCTCTTCAAAGTGCCACTTTCTGTTGGACAACTCTGGAAATATATTTCACTGCCACATTTCCTCTGACTTCTTTCATAATGGGCCCGCCTGATAAACTGAAACAGTCACTATCGATTTTTCTCTTTTTCCCCCTCCACACCCTCCCCAAAAACACTGCCTGAAAATGAAGTTTACTTAGCGGCCAGTAACAAACAATGCTTGACTCATTTTTATATTCCAAACAATATTCTTGCCTCAGAAAAAGCGGGTAGACGTGCATATTTCTTGAAAGCAGAACATTATTTATTTTGCATGAAGCCAATCATTTTGCTTTGGTAAAAGGAGCAAATAAACGTTACACCAATGTAAGGGGTACTGGGGGGCATAGTTTTGAAGGCAACCAAAGTTCATAAACAGTAAGAAGAACAAGGGGCGCCACAAGAACGTTAGGAATAGAGAGCAGCCAAGAGCTGGCTTCAGCTCTGTCTCTGAATAAAACAAAACAAAAACGCAATTTCAAAATTAACAGTGGGGAGAAAGAGAAAAATATGTCCATGAATTTGTACATGTAAACTTCAATTTTCTTGCAGTGCAAATTTATGTGGTTAAATTTTGCCTATATCAAAGAATGTGTGTATTTTTTTCCTCTCTCCTGGTGGGGATCTACTTTAAATAAACACAGCAGCATGTGCCAACTAGGAACATCAAGAAGCTGCATTTTGTGTTTATCACGGTTTGGTGGATTTTTTTCTTTTTTCTTTTTGGTAATTTATTTAGTTTTGCCAGGTATTTATCTCAGTGCTTGCCATCTATCTATCTAACACACGCTCTCGCTTCACTCTCTCTATGAGACATTCCACTCCATTGCCTGGGTACTCGCCTGTAAAGGTCAAAACACATCATTACACCTGCTACCATTTTAAAGGACAAGTCCAGTGTCTTAGTTGCTTTCCTTTTTTCTTATTTTTTTTTTTTTTCGTCTTTTTAAGGGTCGGGGAAATAATAATTAAAAATAAAAGAACAATCAGAAGTTAGAGAGGGAACAAGGGGGCCAGGAAAGTGCCCTGGACCGAAGGGGAGGGGGAGCCCCGCGCTCTGCCCCTCCCCCCGCTCGAGTTCACTGGACGGGCGTCTGCACCCCGTGGTGTGGTGGCGTGTCCCTACTCCCCCCGTACACATCCTCGGCGCCCGGCAGAGTCCCTCCAGGAGGGGTCATCCTTTTCTCTTTCTGTCTCCTGTTACAAAACCAAACTCTCACCACCTCCTTCTCCAGCTGTAAGCTGTCCGCGAGGGAGGTGATCTCCTGGGCCGAGGGCTTGGGGCATTTGAGGAAATGGCTTTCCAGAGCCCCTTTGACGCTCACCTCGATGGAGGTCCGCTTTTTCCGCTTGCGCCCCTGGGCTGCGATCTTGTCTATGCTGGTGGGGCTGCCAGAGGACGAGTCCGCCTCCTCCAACCACTTGTTCAACAAAGGCTTCAGCTTGCACATGTTCTTGAAGCTCAGCTGCAGGGCCTCAAACCTGCAAATGGTGGTCTGCGAGAACACGTTGCCGTACAGGGTGCCCAGCGCCAGTCCCACGTCCGCTTGGGTAAATCCCAGTTTGATCCGCCGCTGCTTGAACTGCTTGGCGAACTGCTCCAGGTCGTCCGAGGTCGGCGTGTCCTCGTCCGAGTGCGGGTCGTGGTGCGCGCCAGGGTGGCCTGGCGGGCCTTGGGGGGGTGGGGGCGGCGGCGGCTGCTGGTGTTGGTGCGAATGCGGGTGCGGGTGGTGGTCGGCGTGGTGAGGCTCGTCGTGCGCGTCCCGCAGGCCGTGATGGTGCAGCCCGGCCGGCTGCCCGCCGGCGCTCAGCATGCCGTTCACGGTGAAGCTGGGCTGCGAGTAGAGCAAGCCGCCGTTGGACGCTCCCATGGAGGGCGGGAGGTGCGCTGCAGCCGCCGCGCTCCGCCATGCCCCGGGCCCCGGGTGGTGGTTGGCGGCATGGTGCACCAGATGCGGCGGCCGCTGCTGCTGCTGCTGCTGCTGCTGCTGCTGTTGCTGCTGCTGCTGCTGCTGCTGGTGCTGCTGCTGCAGGGCGCCCGGCCCGTGCAGCTCGTCGCCGCGGCCGCCCTGCTGCACGACCACGGAGGGCTTGATGTCCGGCTGGCCTAGGGGGCTGGTGGACCACGGGGAGCCGTC